GAAAAGGACAGTAAAGTAAGAGTGTTCAATCCAGTCTTTTTACAAAAAGACATGAACACAAGCTCTGTTTGTTCATGCCCCTTTGTAGAAATCGAAAATAATTTTTAAAAAAAAAGGATTTCAGGAAGTCAGCTATTTCAACCCCTTGCATGAATAAACAACAGCCATTCTGTTCCCAAAGATTTTAGCAAGGAATTTATGCAAAGTCCCTGGTTAGTTTAGGCTCAGTTATTCAAACAGAGAGCAACTACACAGATCTAACAAAGATGACCAGGCAATTCCTAAAATTAAAAATACGAAACATTTCCTTTTTAAGTTGAACAAAATGTTTTCTTCAATCTGAAATCACTCTTTTGGAGGAACTCTAAAATGTTGCCCCGGAGCATCAAAATGAAAAATCCACTTCTCAGAGCAAGATTATGTAGCTAAAATGCGAGATACACTGCATCACTGTGATGAGAAACCAAAGTGTCTTTTCTTCCTTCTACCCAAGGAAGTGTTAAAAGTCTTCATCAGGAAACCATAAAGTACAAATAACGTCAAGTTTGAGGTATTTGTATGCTTGAGGTATCTATATGTCCTTCCACCCTAAAAGAGTAAGAATGGCAATAAAATACCACACAAACCCTTATCAATCGCAGTCTCTACAGCGAGACAGTGGGTCAAACCCTAAAGCTGTTGTTGAAGAGTACTCAATGCAGGGGCAGAGCAAGGCATTAGCACTCCACAGCACTCAAATTTAAGAGCTGAGACAAAGGACAAGGCCCAGAACCATACCATCAATAAATAAAGACTGCTGGTTTTCCATCCATTTTCTGAGTTTGAATTCCCAATGCTCAGGTTCCAGTAAGTGAACAATCAGAATCTGAAATGTAGTCAGACACAATGGCACATGTCCCAGCTCTCCACTGTACCTCCCTTCCCACAGCTGGACCTTCCCCATGGATACAGAAGGCTCTGTACTGCACCCCTTCTCCTTAGAGGGCACAGCACAGTCCAGCTCTCTCCCTGTCTCAGGTGTCCCCCTATTTTCAGGGATTCCAGCTCCTAACCTCATCCTCACAGCACTTCAGCTGGGGCACTCAGATCCCAAAATGCCTGAAACCCAAATGTGGTGTGGACACAAGCCTGTGGTGAAGCAAGAGGCCACAGAGAACCTTGAGGGAACCCAATTTGATGAAGACCAGGAGCTGCATTCCCAGCAAGGTTCAACTATTCCTGACATGCAATGTGGGTGCTTCGCTGTCTGCCACCACCCACTTCACCTCCCTCACAGCATCATTCCTGGAGCAGTCCCACGCTGTCTGACACAGAGCAGGGCAGGTTTATAGTCAGGCTCAGCTTGGCCTGCCCTTGGGCTACACAGATGGTCAGGGCTGGATTATCAGTACACCAGACGTGTAACATAAATACACACCATGTGGTCAATTCAGTTCCCTTCCTGATCTGGCCTCAAGGTAAAATTAGTCATTAGTCTCCTCCCATTTTTCAAATGTCTCAGTAAAAGACTGAACACAAGAGCCACAGGTACGCCCAGAATAGCAGGCTAAATTACCGAGTTGCTGCTGGTTCACAGAGCTTTGGTGCCTAGTTCACTTTGAAAATCCAAATGAAAATGCCAACTACTGTATTGACATTATTTGACCCCAAAATTTAGGTAATCTTAACATAAAAACCCAGTTAAGAAGCAGAAATCTTTGAAATGCACAAGAAGAAAGTGAAATCACAACTGATCAGAAGAGACAAAATACACCTGCCCAATATGAATTTTATACACACACATATATCCAACCAATAGCCAGAACAAGATGAGAAACTAATGAAGCTCAAATATCATGAAACAACATTCCAGAAGTAAGGAAATTTTAATTCAAGAGAGCAGCTCTCATCTCATCAGTGTATCTCACCCGTCTTTACCAACCTTTAACAATCTAGGTAGTGATTTTTTCAAACCCACAGGAGGATGAAGAACAATTATTCAGGCATACCTTCCCTACTTAATGAAGGCAGAGACAGCAGTGCCTGCAATCATCCTAATTGCTGCTCACAACAGCCACTTCAGCTCCCACTCAATCACAACTCTATTATCCCTTTTGACCACCCAGGTAAGTGCACACCTTTATTGTGACTGAGTAAAAGCAGAACCCGAGAAACATGAAATTAGTATTGCTACACTCCAATGATTTCAATAACTTTTCATTGTAAAGGATGAAGAGAGAAGACAAGAGTTTATCATTAGGAAGATGCAAGTGCTTATTACCAGAAGAAAATGATTTCTCCTATGGATACATTATTACATTCATAGCCATGCTATAGCATGATTCTGCCATTGATAAGCTATCCAAAGCCACAGTAGTAATTCCTGTTATTTGATGTCTTAAAATGCAAATATATCCCCTAACAATGTATGTCTATGAGTAAAATTCAGAAAGGACAAAGATAGGACACAAATAATTCCAAAGAATTTTTTAAAAAAATTCAGAACAAAAGTTGCTGCCTTTCTGAGGAATTATAAATGTATTTGCAATTTTCTGTGTGCCTGAATTATTTTGTGAACAGAAAAACTTGAAGGTTCTTGGAGACTGAGTAGGTCTTTATTAGTGTAGAGACCATTTTGCATCACCTCACTGTGATAAAGTGTCTGTGAAAAACAGACATTTACATAAAAGCAAGTATCTGCTGAAAAGATGTTTCTCCCAGCTTGCATTAAAAACTCTTTAAAGAAAAGATTTTTAGTAATTTTTCACTGACATCAACAGGCTCTTAATTCCACTTGAGGTCCTTAAGGCTTATAAGACACTTCAAAGAACTGAGGAAAATAAAAAAAAGATAAATTTAGGAACCACAAAAGCTATAGTCTTCATACCATTTCAAATACTGGGGCTAAATCCTAAGTTCCTGTACATTTGTTCAGACACTGAGGCCTAGTTTCAAAAAAGCAGACAATGCAGAACCTACCTAGAATTTAGGCACACAAGTCCTTGGCAATGACCCTGTTTAAGCTCAATGCTCTGTATTGAAAAACTTGTTTAATGTAGTCTCAGTAATAGCCATAAAGTATTCTTGGTGTTTTTCCATTCAGTTCAATAATAAATGTATAAGCAGATCAAGAGTTCTAAAAGAAACTAAGAACTTTACATTCACTCCTGTCATTTAACCATAGTATAAACACCTTATAACTTTAAATCTTCTGTATTTTTTCCTTTCTGCTCCCTCATCTTTGCCACCTTGTGCAGTCACTGTGTTCTGCAGCAAATTATATGACACTTTCCCTTACTGACATATTTAAATAGCTGCTTTCTGACTTTCCCAAGTCAGTGGGGTGGGATACGTATTCTTCTTTTTCCCTTAGTCTGCATTATGTAACCCTAAAACCACGATTGCTTCTGAAATAAAAAAGATAACCCCGATTTTGTTTCAAGAGTCTAAGAATTTAGGACCATTTGACTTACAATCTTGTACTTTTATGCCAGCAAGACATAAAAAACCGTTCTTGGGACAAACCCACCATGATCTTTTGGACTCAGGGGATGCTGCTCACCACATCTGCATCCTTCCACGTGCTCTGGGCTACTAAAAGCTGGAATCACAGAATCAGCTAGACCTTCAAGATCATCGAGTCCAATCATTAAAGGTGGATGGTCTAACCCTTATTATACTTTCAGCCACTTAACAGCAAACCTGACCCACTCTAGGGCAGATATTGCTACAGACATCTGCTACAAGAGAGTATCAAAGACTAATATGCCAAGCTGAACAGATAACACACAGCCAACCCACATGTAAAGCACCACCAGAGAAGTTCAGGAATTAATGCTGCATTCAACAGAAACTGCAGCTAAATTCTGAGTAAAAATATTACAGCACCTTTATCTGGTAAAGGGACTGGAAGAGCAACTGGAATAAAGCACCTGGAAATTTTACCTGCTGCCCATTAAATAAAGAGAAAATATCAAAAAGTACAATATCTGTGTGATGAAAAAGACATCTGATATGCTTAGATTATCTTAGTCCCTACACAACACTATCCTAATAACAAGAGAATAAGAAAATAGTCTCATTAGAACAGCTTTGGACTGCATTAACTGGTATGATTTACAGAATAGAAAGGAATTTCAGCTTCCCAAAAAGGAAACAAATAGCTGTATCATACAATTGCCCTCTCAATGGGCTTGATGAATCATCTTGAGTTATCTTTAGATAAGAACAGTATGTCTACAGAAAATGTTTACAGACAAAAAGCATGGAATTAACACTGGGTGGGTACCCATATTAACACTACCCATCTCCATAGTCTCAGGAATTAACTGCCAGACATAACAAATGCCAAATCCATTTGTCAAATCTAAAAGAAAAGTTATTTTTAAAACACAAACTATATTCCTTTTCAAAAAATTCACAGCTGAATTAGCCTATAAGTATGCCAGACAACCAGATTTCTGGATTTACCCAACAGTACTATCTTCCCAACCTAGCAAATAAGTAATTTTTACATTTGTAACTTGGTGCTCTTACACTCCATGCTGTTAACACTCTACTTGAAAACAATACTAACAGAATACCTACATTTTAACAAGTTATTAATTAAATTGTTGCATTCTACAGGAGCAGAGATTACAATCTCAAACTCTGCTCTAGGAAGTGGCATTAGGAAGAAACTCTTGTTGCTGGCACAGGAAGGATTATGTCTGTCCTGAACTAGTGATGGTTCACAATAAGCATAAAATAATCTAAATATGTACGTTGTATCTGTGATAGAGCACTTGCTACAGACTTTAGACACAAGCTATGATATAATACAATACCTACTCATTCTGGGAACATGTATTTAGCTTTTACTTGGATTTATGTAGAAAAATGTTCTTTTCAGCCTTTTAAAGAGCATGTCAAGAAATACAGGTTAAACTCTAACTGACACTAATTATGGCTTAAACTCAAATATACTCTAACAATAGGCTTTGAGACAGACATTTCAAAAAGGAAAAAGTCTGGTGCCTCACGTTGTTGATGTACTCTGAGAGCAGGTCCTGCAGGGCCTGGCGGATGGCGTTGCACTCGGCGATGATGCGCTCCCGGTGGACATCCCGCGTGCACGAGGAGTCGGCCAGCAGAGCTGCTCCACTTATAATGGCTTCCAGGCGTTTCTCTAGGGAGGGCCTTATTGTCTCCTCATTCACTACAAGAGGATCCAGGACAATCAAATTCTGGAAAAAAATAAGGAGTCTAGTTAAGAAAAGTCAGCCCAATTAGGTTACTGCTCTATTTTTTACTTGCATGAACCACAGGGACATTGTGCTTCCTAGACTTGCAACCAGCCCTTCCCACTGGAAAGTCAAAAAACTTTTGACCATGGCAGATTCTATTTTCCCTAGTGGGGCTGTGCATAGAGATCATTTGTAGACAAACTCAAATTCTCTCTGCCATTCAGATCTCACTACTTTCCAAGCCAGTTATCCATGTTATCAAATCCTCAGACCAGAGTCTCGGCTTCGACTGAAAGAGGGGTTCAGCACCTCCAAACTTTAGTCTTTTACAGATCAGGAGAACCTCTGGATTTACCTCAAAAACAGCAGTGCTAGCTCACAGCTGAGAATGTCACATCAGATTACATGAGCAGTCTCATTCCGCTGATTTTTAGCCTGATACAATCCCACACTGTGACAAAGTCACTGCTGCCACCTTTAACAGGCTGAATATGTGCAAAGATAAAAACCAGAAACTTTTGTTTAACAATTGCTTTTTTGCAAAGGACCTAGATATAAGTGTCCTTTGCTTTTCAGTAGGTAGTGTAAACCAAAGCAGACAACTCCTTTGGCTTGATAAAATTAATAACATTTGTGCGTCAAGCAAATAAAGAAGAGAGGATATTTTCATGAAATGTGAAAGTAAGTATATTTGAGCTGCACCATTTAAAGAAATACAAACTAGTAATTTTTAATGTAACTGAATACGTGAAACAGTGTCATTATAGTTCTGACCACCAACTCCACATACACCCATTCACCTCTTACCCTCGCAGGTAGTTCAAACATTTCAGAAGCAGTATTGAACAAGAAAACTATGCCATGTACCCTGAAGTGGAATTTTTCTGTTACCTATTCTGAGATACTATAAAAAGCCTAAAACTGAGATCATGGATTTGTTCCAGGAAGTGAAAGGATAGACCATTAAAATGGTTTATGAGTCTATGTCAGGTGTTCCTGTGTATCCAGCCGATGTAACCACAGATTAAGTTAAAGCAATAACTATGTATTTCCAAGTTCCTGGATTTTCTCAAAACAAGGTTCACCTATCCAGATACAATAACAGTGAAAAGGAATTTATGTGCAAGCAGGAAGGAAAGAACCTCATTATTCTGAAGATGAAAAACATAGTTATTTGTATATCCATAAAGCAACATAATAACCTAATTAATTAATTCCTAATTCAAAGATGTAAAAAATATGCTGATCATGGAAATCCGAATTTTACATACAGCTATGGAACCAAAGCCAAACTGAAATAGAACAGTTTGCCCACTCACAGAGGAAAGCAAACAGGCAGTTCACTGCTTTCATCCTCCTTTGCAGAAGTAGGAGCCAGTTAAGAACCACTCAACATTTAAAAAAAAAATTGCTGACTTTTGCCTTCTCCAAACAAGAGAGAAGAAAAGCTGAGATTTTGCCAGGGCCTGGCAGACCCTGCCATGAAGGCCAAAATACAAAGGAAAGAAAGAGCACTTGGACAGAATAAAGGAGGTTTGCTCTTCTGCTCTGAATACCTCTACATTCCCTAACCTCTTGCTGGCAGTGGATGGAAGCCGCAGCACAGGAGGTCATTTTGCTTTTGCAGGCAACTTCCTAATTGCCAACGTCCAGAGTCAGGCCCGATGGGAGCAGCAACCCAGCTCTCAGTGTTGTCACCAAAAGCCTTCCTTTCCTGGAGCAGCTGTTTCCACAGAAGGAAGGAAAAGCACCTGTGGATACTTCTCTGGAAGGGTGAAGGCAGTACGATACCATTTGTCCACAAGGAGAACTTAGAGACAGATTAAAAGTATTAGCATAGGGCACCCATTTTTTTGTTCTTTTCTTTTCTTTGCTGAGCTTCCTTACAACAGTGAGAGAAGGGCTGGAAGCAAAGAAAAGCTGCACCCCGTTTACCTGGAGGCAAGCTGAGTTACTGCACATCTCAAACACAACAGGCACGGCAGGAAATTAGGGAAATGCAGTACGAGGAATTGTAAGAAAGTGGTATGGAGTGCCATTAAGAAGTCTGAAATACAAGGGAAATTAATCCCTTTCAGCTGTCACCTCGGTAAGTAAGACCACATAACTTTAAAAGCAGAATCAAATAGTTCTCAGCAGTAGGAAATGTGTTTTCCTGCCTAACAAGCATCGAACAGCTTCATTATTCAGATCTTTGTTACTTTGTTACTATATCCAGGCATAGCAAAATTTAAAATGAAGCAGCTTCAAGTTTTATAATTAGCACATTAATATATATATATTTGGAAAACTGCATAAAACTAGCCATTAGTATTTAAATATTTACATTTTAAAATTATATATAATTAACTTGCATCCAAGAGACAAGTTCACATTAATCTTATGCAGAAAAGCCTCATCCATAACGATCTTCTAAGAATGACAAGGGAAGCTCTTCTAAGATATAGTCAGTTCCAGAGGTCAGGACATTCATTTCTGATGTGGAAGAAGGTGTTGGAGATTTGAAACTCTGCCTCCCTCAATCACAATTAGAGCCCTTAATACCAAAGTGTTCTGTGGTACTTCACATCAGCTGAATTTTTGCCACTTGGTCCTGGAGCAGCAACTTTCCTGTCAAGCTCCCAACTAAGTCCCCTCATGCCAGGCCATATGTACAGTGTCCATTGTAATGCAAAACACACCTGCCAAGTACAATATTGAAATGTTACTGCATTAAAAAACAGCTTCATTGATTGTGGAAGATTAAGACACACCTAAAGGCTACAGCCAATTAGCCATTTAGCTTGAAAAATGACTGCCTTCAAATCTCACATGAAACAGAGGCAGAAACGTCTTCCTTTGGGAGACAGTTTGTAGAAAGTTCATGCTAAGATGGACCAATAGCACTGGCAAAAAAGCTACTGTGGTCCATCACTAAATAATCAGAAACACCTAGGCAGCAGTAAACAGGAAAATACGAGTTAAGACTCTGCCCACAGATTAAATTCTTCAAACAATTTCACCAACTATCTGTAAGTAAATCTACGCAGAAAAGACCCGAGGAAGAGACACCAGCCATGCCACAGGCAGTCCTGCAGTTCTGCTTTAAGAGGCTAAAGAGTGCTCAGCTACCTGAGCTCTTAAGCGTAAGTGAGCATTTAAGAGGAGTTATTAGATCCCTGTTTTCTCCCTCATTGGACTTCTGATGTGTGAAAAAAGAGGGATCACAGGTATCCAGAAACCTGGTTCTGTTTCCTGAAGTTTTGGACTGATTTACAGCCTTTGGACATCACTGAAGGACCCCAGAGCAGAACACGCTGACAGAGTCAGGCATGCGACACCTGGATCGTTTCGTGACAAATCTCTTTACATTCAGAAGATGCAAGAGCAGGGAAAGGCATCAGTTAACCTGCACCCACACACTCTTCTCACAGGTCTTAATATGCAATTAAATTTTAAAGTTCCAATTTTGCGTTTATTTATAAATGGCGCGGGAGTTATTTGGAGCCTTTCAGAGGAATTGTTGAGAATCTACTGATTTATGGGTTAGCTGCTCTCATTTTACTGGTGGTTTCCTCACCTCTAAATCCTTAATAACTTCCACGCTGCCAGCACTGGCAAAGGAAGAATGACATTGCAGAACATGTAGATACTAGATCGTTGGGTAGGCTCTGTGATACATTTCCACACTATAAACATTTAATCAGATTTGTTCCCAACAGACTATTTACTACATCAATCTATTTCAGGGCACTGGATTTGCAACAAGAAGATAGAGCAAAGGTTATTTCAGGTCCTTAGCCAATAGAACTGTCTGTAAAGAGAGAAGAGTGCAACTATGTAATTCCTAAAATCATTTTAAGTTAAATGCTCTATAAATTTTGCTTTATCTAACTCACACAGCTTCAATTCCCATTTGTGGTACTTAGGTAAAAATACATTTAAAACTCCATAAACAAATGGCTTTTTACAACTGTTAGACTTCTATGTTCTTATGTTTCCAAATAAAAATAAATTCAGTGAAAAATACTATTTTTCCATTTTTTGATTATCACAAATATCATATTTTAGAACTATAATAAATTTTATTACATGTTTAAATTATTTAAATGGTACTGCTCACGTACAGTCAAGATGAATTCATCTGTGGTCAGAAAATGCAACCTTTTCATCAATTTTTTTTTAAAAATTTGTAAGTAAACCAGGTTAATAATACCTCTCATTTAAAGTATACATTTGTCATTCAGAGCTTCATTGTAAAAAATGCTGTATTACTCTTAAATGTTTCTTTTTTTTCTTCTATTTGTTATGAAAATAGGTTAGAAACTATAATTTTAAAACCCAGTATGAGAAGCAAGGAGGGATAACAGGTAATGTGCTATTGTAGTCTGTTCCTTTAGGGGGAAAAAACTTCAAGCACAACTGAGAGGTCTGTTTTTGTCAATAAACTGCCACCACCAAATCCGTGTGATATTTCAGTGTATTTCTTTAATCTGCCACTGAAAATTTTAGGCAAAGTCTATTACCATCAGTCATAACACCAATTCTTCTGAAAACCCATCAACAATATTGGAGTTCAGAGACTGAGATTTGCTAAGCCCAAGAATTTACAATCAAAACCACAAATATTTGCAAATGTGTTTAGAAACATTCACTGCTTTTGTTGGTCTGGGCCTACATGAGTTACAGCACATGAGGATCATGGTCTGTAATCCCATCTACAGGAGATCTTTTACCAGTTCTGGCAGGACAATGGAAAATGACACTGGTAAGAGCCAGAGCAGCCACAAGAAAAGGGAGAAGCTCCATACAAAAGCTTAGGATGAGACCAGGAGTAGAGAAAGAGCTGCCCTTCTCCAAGTATTCACCTAAATAATGGAAGCAGAAATACAGAATTTGTGAAAGCATATTGGTTATGTCACTTTATTTCATAATAAGCAGATGAGGTTTCTAAATTGTTCAGTGATATAAATTACAGAATGACAGAGGAAAGGACTTCGGCTCATGTGTTACTGGTTCAAATGCAGTCAAGGCAGCAGTGATCACTGCCAGCTCATAATCACTGATTAGTAAACTCAACTCATGGCTCCTGCCCACTTACCAAGGACCCACCTGCCTCCAGCACTAGCAACACACTTGGAACTAACTCTTCCCCTTCCATTTCAGCCAAATGTTGAACATACTGGAGACTTAATTCCAAATTCTTCTGAAGGGAGCGATCCCTCTCAATGAAACAATTCCGAGTGATGCTATTTAGACTCAGACTATGCAGAGCATCAATTTCTAATGCCCTTAGGCCCATCACTTATGTCATCAATAGTTATTAAAAAAAAAAAAAAAAACATTTTTCCAAAAACATTGTAGTCTCACAGGTTTACATACCTCAAGCTCATCAAGTGCACTTCCAAGAGTAGCTGTGCGAGACGTAGGTTGTTCCATTTTATTTCCAACTCCTTGGGAAGCATTAGAAATTGCATTGAGAGCATTCTGTATTTCATTACAAATTGAATCCTTGCTGGCTGTAAGGGATGCAACATCTGAATGTTCCAAACAAGCTGAACATATTGAATGCAGGAAAGAGGAATTTTCCTTCAGGGATGCACGTGCTGCAGCAATCTCATCTCGCTGACTGCTAGATTTCAAATCCTGTCAGCAAAAGAACATGCTGTTTATTTCCAAAAGCACTTCAAAACTGACAAGTAATGTATAAACAATTTCTTTCCTACCTCTACTCTCTTTAAGGAAACATCAAGTTAAATTCATCAAAGATTGTGAAAATGGGCTATAACAGTACTTACAACTGAATCATCTTTATGCCATGAGAAATGAACCAAGTCTGGGTAAAACAAGCACAATTTTTATTGTGGCTTACAACCAGCACCATGAACTGTCTGTGTCTTGCTTGTTTTTAAGCAGTTCTTCTCTGAGAAAACTGGCCTGGAAATTTGCTGTCTTTCCTCCCAGACAAGTCTTTCTTCATAAGCAATGGAGAAGGACAGAGGTGCAGACAAAGTGAAGCAAGGCATTGTGTAATTGTTGCATTTAAACAAATTTCCTGGGTTTTCTTCCCTGACCTACCAGCCTATGTCCCAAGCACACTGTAGAAAGGAACAATGGGTCAGGGATAAGAATCCTGCACTCCTGGGAGATGGGAAGCCTGGAAAATGTGGAAATTAAAAATGTGCTTGAGACAAGCCATACCTGAAGTATTACTGCCTGTTTCTCCTTCTTCCTGCTGTGTACACACTTAAAGCATTCAGGGATCCTACCACACTCATCTTATTCCTCCCTTCTCCACCCATATCTTCTTGAAACCCTACTGCCTCCCACCAGCCCAGACAACAAAGGACACACAGCTGGACAGAGCTACCGAGGCAAATTTAACTGGGTCCAGGAATCAAGCTTGGGAGCTGTTATTTGGAAAGCTGAAAGTTATGGACTTCGGGACAACCACAGAGTCAACATCAGGATTGTAAGGAGCCTCCTTTTCCATTCTATTTTATTCTAGACATTCTCCCACTCTCCTTCTGCATCTTGTCCCTTTGAGAAACACCAGTAGATATTTGCAAAATGGCTTGTGTGAAGGAGATAATTAAACTCAGGGGGAAAATAAAAAAGGAAGGGAAAATAGCACATCAGAGCCTGTGGCACCAGCTTCAAACAATGAGAAGAGGCACAAGGAAGAATGAACAACACAATGCATACAAAACTTCTCCAAAGGCTACCCTAAAGCAAGCTGAAGTCCAATTATTTTCCTTTGCATTGCATCAGTCTCTATATGCATTATTTACAAAAGCATCACAGTACCCACTTCTCACTGCATAAAGTTTGTAAGTTTATGGCTGAAGAAAAGAGCATTCAATATTAAATGAACCAGTCCTATGTTTTTAAAACCTCATTTACTCCAAGATATGCATTGGACATCGGATTGCATCTTACTTCCCCAGGCTAACTTGGAAATCTCAGGCATACAGTAAAAGCCAAACAAACAAATGAGAGAGAGAGCTGGAGCCTTAAACAGAGTCAGAGAATGGTTTAACCAGCTGATATCTGAATCATAAAACAGAGTTTTCTTGAGCGTATTAACACACAACAGATTTTAACATTTTTAATAAACCCATACATCAATGAATCACCACTCTGCAAGAATGACTTCATTGCCCAGTGTGTTCAGATCCAAATACTACTGCACCTCCAAACACAATAAAGCATCTGCAATTTTTCCAGAGCACTGGACTTTTTCAGCAAAGAGTGTTATTTATTTGTAAACACAGGCTCTTGCTCTAAGTAGTGAATCTATCCTTCCTACAATTATATTACAACACAGCACACTAATCTCATTTCTCCTGGTGCTGCAAGGAAGCCACAGACCTCGAGATACAATGGGAAATCACCACAATACTTCAGTCTAGCCACCTTCTATTTATTAACCATTTCTTACTTTACTGCATCATATACAAACAGTCAAACCTGAAAGTCCTTCAAAGTGACTGTTTCCCTCTAAAACAGTACTGTCTAACCAGGATCAGGGGGTTCATAAGAAATCCCAAACTGATAAGCCAGTAGCACAAAGCTAGTAACAGCAGTCAGTAACACAGCACCTGGAAACACGGCTGGAAACAGTCAAATAGGTTCAAAAAGTTCATGTTTTTAAGTAAACACAGAATACTTTCTTTCACACAATACTGTGTAGAGATTCAGAGTCGTGGCACTGGTAAATTCACTTGTGAACAGCCTCACTTTGTTCAATAACATGTTTAAAATGTAAAAAAAAGCTTAGACCCACCACTACTTTGTTGTTCAGCTCTGAGCCTTGGGCAGCCCCAAACGAAGCTGTAGGGCCATGGTTCCTTTCCATCTTGAGGAAGAATTAGTTCCTCAAGACTTTTCATATGAAAAGGAAGAAACAGATGATAATCTAGATTGATCTTCTCCATAAATGGACCAAAAATACCTAAAATTGAGTGATTTCTCTATCAAACCTTTGCATATGTGGGTTATCAGAATAATGTAACTAGTTCTTTGAAGAAGGAAGTTAGTCTCTACAAAAATCTGCAGTTCACCCAGCTACTTCACTGAACTTTAGGTTATTTTACTTTTTATTTTTATAGTTTACCACTTTCTTCTTATTCCAACTTCTTTTTAGACTAGTAGACTATGCCCACTGGTCTGACACAAGTTTTTCCATACTGAGTCAGATATGTCATGTAAGACCAGCTGAGATCACAAATAATCCCCTCTCCAACTACTGCTGACCTAAGAGGCCCAGTACAGTGACACTTCCCCAGGTTGCTGCCCCAGCCCTACCAGGACATACTTCTATGTCTTTCTTATACCTGATTGTCCCGGACAAGAATGGAAAATGAATGGAGAGTCCCAGATTCTCAGCAGTGGATTGTTCCAGCTAAACATGGTGAATGGACAAAAAGACTTCGAATGGAAAATTTGAAAACTACATTCACAGTTAAGCATTGGCTGCACTACTTCAACAAGAAGGAAAAAAAAGGGGGAAAATAAAAACCCTGTTCCTTATCAGACATAATATATCTAAGGTTTGACAGCACAAAACACCAGGAAGCCAGCTCTTTTTCCCTGAACAACTCATGGGGTCTGAGCATCACTGTGGGTACAAATCAAACAGCCCTATTCTGCACCAGCTGCAGTGAACACCAGCTTCACACAGACAGCCTCAAACAAAGAGCACTGCACTTCCCCAGCTTGCTCTCTTCAGAGACAGATGTTATTGAATCAAATTCTGATTCCAGAAAAAACAAAGGCATACAAACCCCCACAATTTCATGCTACTACAGAACTAGGAGACAAAAGCATCAGTTTTTATCACAGCTTAAACCTGGGCTTTAGCATTCAGCTTTCAGTCAAAACTGACTGCCAAATTGTGTGCAGTTGGTGAATCAAAGACAATAACAGAGCTCAAACTCTTCCAAGTGCATTCACGTGCTGTTTATCTGGGCAAGGTTCCAGTTTACATATTTCATAAGCTCTGTGTTGTCCTATTCAGTGGAAGAAAGTATCTCACAGACAAGAAAGTGAAAAAGATCTGGGGCTGACACCGAGTGCCAGGGCTCTCTCAGCTTGGCAGTTCTGCCAAGAGAACGGTTTCACATGGGTTTTAGGTCTTACACCCACCCCTCAGGGCCAGCCTCGCCTGGAAGCTGCAGCCACCCTCACCCCTGGGCCCTGCAGCCCCAGTTCCACACACCCTGGGACCCTCAGTCCCTCTCCAAACTGTGCCATAAGGCTGCTGGGCTCCAGCTCAGCCACAGCTGCCCCTGCCTGGCCATGGACCCAGCCCACAGACTGACCTCCTGAGTTCCACCTGGCCCTGTCACCACGGGGCTTCTGAGATACCACAGGGCTGTCTCTCACCTGGATCCACGGACTGACCTCACAGCTTGTCCCCCCCGACCTGCCTCATCACACAAACTTTCCTGAGACATTACTAGATCATAGAATTGTGCTACACTGACTACCAAAGTTCCCCTTACAGGCATTCACAGTGACTTGACTGTGACAGTTTGCCAGTAAATTCAGAACTGCACGGAATCACAGGAATTTGTTTTAACACACCTCTGTGCATTTCTCTCTGACTGAATCAAAATCGTGCCATTACCTCGAGAAAGCAAACTAGTAGATCTTCTGGTGTTGTAGAAATGGAAACTCACAGGAAACTCTTCCTAAAGAATCATCTGCTTCTTCACAGAGAATACCTGTGTTCCCAAAGCCAGATCATTTGCATTTTGGTTGTCTGTTTTAAATACATGGGTTTCCAGAGATTATTCCAGTCCAAACAGGTGGATGAAATAAATTAATACTGTTACACTTCAGAACCATAAAAACGTTTCCTTTCTCATTTCTCTTTTCTGATAGACAGGCAATCCAGAAACACTGACAATCCCCAAAACAACAGCATTTGCAGGCACCACAGAAGGAAGCCATTTTCAGAACTGTATCTTACAGACTGACCAAGTCTGGAGATGAAAATAGGAGCCTATGCTTACAAAGCATCACCATAGTATAAGCTTGGTTGTGAGGAATTCCAAGCTAACCTTCTACTAAAAAAGTCTTACCAGCTTCTAGATTCGTTTTTTTCTGACTTCAGAAGTCAGCAGCAGTTCTTAGTGTCTCATGTAGTATAGTGATATCATGTATACAGAGTACAGAAATACCATATAAACACACAAAAAATACATATACTCTGTATGGCTAAAACTGTAGGCAGTTCATTTGCATCAGCCATATGCAGGAATACACAAAATGTAAAGTGTTAAAGTGCAAATCCATGCCAATGTTATCATAAAACTAAGCAATACCCTCTGCCTCTGAGATGACTCAGCAGTCTTTATAAATCTATATCTTTCAGTCAACTTAGAGCAAGCAGGAAATGGATTTACAGGACTGAGGTTCCCAGTAGAACTTTGTATCTATACCTTGGCCAAAGAGTCTACCCACTGCTACAAGGAAAAAGAAGCAAACATTAAGTATAAATAACTGAGTATTCCTTTTCTCTGCTTTAACTTGGTCAAGAGGAGATTCAGGATGAGTTCACCGAATTTTCAACAGTGCAAATGGGAAACCAAATCATAAAATACTTCAGATAAAAGTCTTAACCACGAAACCTTCCCCTG